CGTCATCCTCGTCGTCGTCGTCGGGGGGGCCCCAGTGGCCCCGCATATCGTCGCCCTCCTCGTTGTCGTAGCCGTCGTCGCCGTCGTCGCCGTCGCCGCCGGCGCGAACGGCATTGGCGAAACCTTTATGGAGCATTCGATATTGCAAGTATGTCGTGCAAGGCCCGCGGGGGCCCGAATCACGCAGGGCATCTCGGGCCTCTCTGGAACCTCTTGGGGGCTTGGCAAAACCCTACATGCTGAGCCTCTCTAGACGGCTTGCCTGGGGCCCCCTCGGGGCCCCCTGCCGTCCTCGCCAGGCTGTTCTTCGGGGCTCTCTGGTGGCATCGTTGGTGGCCATTGCAGGGTCCAGGTGCAGAAGGGGGTGGCGGGAGCAACAGCACATCTATTTTTTCGGCTCCACCTGGGTCAGGGACATGGACCACGCGGCGCGCCACGCCTGTGTGCCCCTGCTGTCCCAAAGCATCGGTGAGGCAGAGAATTGGTATTGCATTGTGCCCAAGATTAAGCGACGGCTTGGCCAAAGTGGGGGACGACAAATTTACTTGCCCGTCGTGCGTGGGCGGCATTGAGCTCCATACGAACACTGAGCTCCTCAAGGTAGGAGTCACGTGTAGATTCGACAAGAGGCGAGAATCGCATGGGCCCGAAATATTAAAAACTTGCATCTCAGCTGGGCAGGCGCCTTCAACGATATCACCACCATCCAAAATTTCATATTCAAGTAACGTCCAGTCTCGCTGCTTGATTGGCTTACTTAGAGCAGTCTTGATGAGAATATCTGCGTTCCCCTTGGAAATAACTTGAAAGACGCGAAGCGGCACAGCAGCGCCTGGCGCCGATGGGAACGATACGAACGAATATAGCGGCAGCGATTCCAAGAAGCATTGATCGAGCAACTTGTGATCATCTGAGATCTCGCCCTCGCCCTCATCCTCGTCGACGGCGTGGGCCATGAGTGCATCGCCCCCCGCGTCTGCTACAGCTGGACCTCCTCCGTCAACGTCGACATCATCTGCATGCGCCTCTAGTGGTGGCAGTGGCGCTGGACGATGGGCTGGCCAGTCGATTGGGTCAAAGGCCCGATCTAGCTGGTATACCCTCTGGAGGAACGCTCTTCTCTGGCAACGGCGGCCGCGCCCTGTGCAATCTGCCAAGGCACTCTTGTATGAATTCCACAGTTTTTGTCTATCAACCTCCGCTGCCTCGCACAGGTCATCAAAGTCACGCAAATTCTGGTTGAGTCTGGCACTTCCTGCGATCCAACCCCACTTCGCTGCTCTGGTTTTGCCGCAAATCCTTGAGACTTGAGCATGCGGACCTTCTCCTGGCTTGTCGTCCAACGGGATATCTCGGAGGTCCCGCATGTGGGCAGCAAGCCGAGGCGACATCCCAGAGCCGTCGGCGCCCATGGCCAGCAACGCTGGGCCCTCCATCCCGATGATGTCCCTGGTGAGCTGGTGATGCATCGACGGGTCGATGCGTCGCCATTGTTCCATTATCTGATCACGGACGCCTGCATTGTCCATCTTGCTGAAAACATACGGAACGTGTTCCAAAAATTCAAGCTTCCTCTTGGCAGTGGCGAGGGCTCTCACATATATGCCCCCACACTGTTGAAGGAACTGCATGTTGTTTGAACGAAAATGGCCTGGTCGCCAACCCCTGCTCTCCACAACTGCGCCGCTCAGAGTCCTCACGGCGTGATCGTATGCTAAGTGGATGAGCCTTGACTTCTTGTCGCAATCGACGCGCTCCCCAGCCATGAGCTGTTCCATGTGACATTCACAACCCGACCCCCAGTTCTGCAACCCCTTCATCATGGACGCAAGCGCTGTGACGAATTGCAGCTGTGATGTCCACTCAGCGCTCCCAAGCGCCGCGCGAACCTTCCCCACCCCCGATCTGTCCTTCAGCTTGGCTATGAACTTGAAGTTCGGGAAATGCAGCTGCACCGTTTCAAGCACCTTCGCGATTGACTTGCATACCTTCGCCAGCGTCGTCCAACGCCAGCTCGCAAAATATGAAAAGGAAGCTGCCTCGAGAAACTCAGAAGCGGGCACCATGTTCTGTTCTTTGAGCTCCTGCGTGATATCATCCATGTGGTCACGACGCAAACGGTTGAGTGCCTTCAGCTTGTCCACAAAAGATGGGAACCACCTGGCGGTGTTCAGGCACGTCTGCAGAACGCCATCAATGATGTGGTTCCACCCTGGGCACGGAACTGCGCGACTAAACAAAAGATCTGCCCTGGGTGGCGTTCTCAGTGGCAAGGCCATGCCGAAATACCGATACAGCTCGCACATGACGTCAGGCATCGAAGCAATCATGCGTTCTGTTCCCAAGTCAGTGGTTATCGAGACAACCCTTGAGCAAAATGATCGGACGGTCTCGATGCGTGGCCCGACCATCAAGAAAATCTGCCATATCAGTCCAGCTGTTTTCCCGAACGCGTTTCTCACCCGTGAGCCGATGTGCAGCAATGGGAACAGCCTGCGCGTGACAGATCGCCGTCCGTCGGAGTCGTGGATAACAAGGTCAAATGAACTCGCCAACAATTCTTTTGATCTCCACTGGGGGCTTGCATCAATCCATATGAATATTGTTATTAGGTGAATCGGCAATGTCAAGAAAAACTTCCTGAACGCCAACATCGATACTATATCAAACCTGGTGCGCGCCTGTCGTAAAATTTCTCTGTTGATTGTCTGCATCTGGGCGCCGTGTGCAGAACCATCATCTCTGCCAAGAATAACCTTGCACCAGGCAAGCGCAGTGGATTCACTAAATCGTAGGTCGGTAATGTTTTTAGTAGCATCCAGCAGCAGCACCATTGTGTCCACGTTGACGGTTGCCTGCCGATGAGGGCGTGATATGGCCACGATTTCATGGTTGGCGGGAGCGTGCGCTGCGGCAACATTGGAGACAGGATGTCGCTTACGGTATTCTCGGCATAAGTAAGGGCTAGGGCTGACATCGCATAGTCGGGTTCGAAGTGGGAGCGTCGTTCCGAAAGCCACGGAATGCATTGTCGTCTGTGAGCGTTCACACACCGAGGATGCCAACCCAGGGCCAAGCACAATGATGCAGTATTGCTGGCGCGCACCAAGGCCACAGAGAGCATGGGCGTCGGCGGCAAACTCGCCGACCGTCGCCCCTCCCATGAGGCGTTCGGCCGAACACCTCGACAACAGGATCGACGCGGACGCGTTGCCATCTACAACGACAGGCCGCTCCAGACTGCAAGCACGAACCGTGACGTAGCTGACGAAATGGGTGGGGCTGCACGTCGAGCGTCTCTCCGCCAGCGATCTCATGATGGCCTCGTGGTGCGGCGGCTCGTCATCCGCATTGCCAAACACCCAATGTCCCAAGGCAATGCCGACGAGCCGCCTGTCATCGCCTCCGCCCTCACTGCCAGGAAACTCATCATTCCAGAACCCGCTGCGGTGAGATACCACAAGAAAGATCGTCATCGGCCCGTGGTCGGGCGCTCGGGCTCTCAATCGCGCCCTGGGGCCTGGAGCGGCCAAGACAAGGCCCTCGTCGCCGTCCACATCCCCAGCAGCAACATCGCCAGGCTCAGGCGCCCTGGCAGGCACATCCCCGTCTATCTCTGGGTCGCCTAGCATGGACAAGGCGCGAGAGAAATGAATTCGAATGCCATGCTTGGAAAACATTTGAGCACACATGGATATGGAGAATAATGGATTGAGCACACATTTGACCATTCAAACATAACATTTGAACATGCATGGAATAATGGACATTTGAACAAATATTTGAGCACACATTTGACCATTCAAAAATAAAGGGGGGCGTCATCATACTCCTGATTACGGGGAGGATCATGAAGGGGGGGCGGGTCAGCAGTAACTCGCACGTTCTAGTGTGTTTCTTTTCTCTGCCCAATGTATCGTTCATTGTCCTCCTCATCGTCCTCCACCCTCCCCCTTCGCATCCTATCGCATTCTTCTACCTCCTGCTCATACTTCTCCTCCTGTCCCGACTTCCCCTCCACTTCTTTGTTCCGTAGCCATTTTGGCAGAAACCGTGTGGCGCGTCGGAAACTGGGACGCATGCCGTGGGCATTGTATAACGTCGGAGACTCGAGTGGGACTTCGGGCCACACCCTGCGACGATTACCTAAGAAAGGGAAGAATCAACACTGAGAGGGGGGGGTGTTGAGGAGCCTGGGGACTAGGAGAGACCACAGTAAAGTGTCTTATCTTTGAGTTAAGGGTGGAACCCATGGCATACCAACTTGAACCGCCGACCTCGGGCTCGACCTGTGGGAGCGGCCCTGGCTGGGGCGCGAGGCTCCGCGAGATGCGACCCCCGTCGCACCCTGGTTTCTCACGTCTATAGGCCTCCGCAGGGCCCGCTTCGGGTCAAGTCGGGCATGTCCCTCTACAGGAGGAGCATTCACACATGGTCAACACAATAGTCTGGGGACGACTGTTGTTTTTATTTTTGGGGGGGCAATCTTTCTTCCTAAATCTGCCTGTAGGAGGACATGCCCGACCTAAGCCTCGGGCCCATGGGCGTTAGAAATGTGTCCGGGATTACGAGCTGGCCAAGAGGCACCCCATGAAGGGACCGGGGATTGGTTTGAGTGCACTCGGGGTTTGCGCGAAACGGGGCAGCACTCCGAGAATGCGGCGGGCTCCTCAGGAGGCAAGGGCAGGAGCTTCCAAGGGAGGCTCCATGGAATCGGGGGAAGAAGCCCCCTCGACGCTCGGACCAGCCCGCCCCTGTGTCGAGGGCCCGGCTGGGTCGGTCCGCGCTGGGGCCCGCCGCGCTTCTCCTGCTCGGTCGGGTGGTCGGTCGATCCTGATGGCATGAGTTTGCAGCTATCAATCCTAAAACAGAGAAATGAGAACAGAGCGGGGGGATCAACACGCAGTGGGGGGGGGGGCACCTGAAGTCATTGCCGAAATCACTCCCCGTGGTTGGCCGGGTGCGGGCTGCCCCGCCCCCCCCATTTGCGCGGCTCCGAGGCGGCGGCCCAGGCGACGACGCGGACGACGCCGCCTTGGACCCAAGTGGGGGCGAGGACTCCTCGGGTCACACCGCGGAGGAGAGAGGGTGGAAGACGATGAAGATTGTAGTGATGGTGGTGGTAATAATACGGAGAGGGGGGGGATGATGATGAGGAGAAGGAGGATGAAGATGAGGATAATGAGGAACATGAGTATGATGCGGAAGATGACGACGACGGTAGTGATGACGATGATGATGCTGATGATGTTCATGATGATGATGCTGCTGTCCATGATGCTGATGATGCTGATGATGATGCTGATGATGAGGATGATGATGATGATGATGATGATGATGATGACTAGTGTAAACCCAAGGCTTATCAACGATATTGAAATACACCCTCCCTCTAAGATCCTTTTTTTTGAGCCCTTACAAGGGTCATTTCCAGTGAGGAATTGCCCCCGTTGTGGGACAATCGTGAGAACATCTTGAAGCGTGCCAAAAAAACATTCTCAGGACTTCGACGCCACGATTTAACCTGATTGTTACGTCTTGGCCATCCTGAGTCGTGCCAAGACACCATTCCTTGACTTCAGCACCGCGAGTCAACGTACCTGTTGCGCCCTGACAAACCCTGTTGTACGTGAACCATAAGAACCACTGAAACGTCTGCAAATGTTTGAAACAACTGTGCGCGGCGCCAAGGCGATAACCACAGCTTGAAAACGAACCGCCCTCATTCCGTAAAGCTCTTGCAACTTTTAAAAACGAATGTGCGCGGCGCTAAGGCGAAGGCCACGTGTTGAAAGCGAACCGTCCTGAATCCGTGAAGCTTTTGCGCATGTTTAAAGCGGAGGTGCGCGGCGCTTCAACGATAGCCACATGTTGAAAACCACCCGCCGTCAACCCGTGAAACTCTTGCAAATGTTCAAAGCGATTGAACGCGGCGCTAAGGCGAGAGGCACATTTTGAAAGCCACCCGCCCTCAATCCGTGAAAACCTTGCAAGAAGCATGTGCGCGGCGCTGCGGCGAGAAGCACAGTTTGAAGACCAGCTGCCCTCAATCCGTGAAGTTGTTCCACACATGTTTAAACCGAATGTGAGCGTCGCTAAGGCGAGAGGCACATTTTGGATGCGGTCCGCCCTCCATGTGTGACATGGTTGTCAATCTCTCAGCATCAGGGACATAAGTAAATGGTGAGGACGTCTCATACGAAACGCCCGGCCCGCCCTTTCGACCGGCCTCGGGGTGCGACAGGGAGGAGTTATCTATAAAAAGGCATTGAGGAGGAGGAGGATGAGGAGGAGGAAAAGGAGGAGGAGGAGGAGTACGATGAACCGGAGGACGATGAAGAGGAGTATCAGGAGTATAGCGAGTTCGAGGAGGAGGAGGAGCATGACTAAAAGAATCATGAGAAGGACCTCTTCTCTGTCTCAGCCTCTCGCCCCGAGGACGGCCACGGCGGCGATCCAGACGGGAGCGGCGATGACAAGAGACCCGACAAGGCTCCCACGACCGAGGAGACGGGCATTTTCAAAGACCCAGGGGGTATGAGCCTTTTCTCGCCTTCTCCTCTCCCTCCAGTCTCTCCCTTTAAGAGCAATCATCTTCGATGTTTGGGACTCCACCTCGACGCACCTGGCAGAACAGAGCATGATATCATATACAAGACGTAACCAATACGCTGTGGCATTACATTTCAAGCATTCATGATGTACTGTCGTGCTGGTCATCTGTGAGAGAGCCTTGCCTTTTTCGTCCAGCGCATTTCAATTGGCATTGGGACTTGGTATCGCCCCCCCGAGTGCGAGGGGAAACGCAGGAAGGGTGTGCCTGGCGCTCCGTGCCCATGACATGAAGTAGGGTATTGTCGGCCTGTATCTCGTAGTCACTCGTAGGGTTTACAAGCATGCCCGGCATCTCGCCAGACGATTCTGGAGAGGGCCAGCATCTACGTACAATAAGCAGAAGTCTACAACTGGACTTGCATGGCAGTGTAATGGAGCATTTCCGCTATGAGTCGATTGGGCGCTTTGTCCGCCGATTCCCGACCATGCCCATTACATGCAAGACCGTCGCAGCTGATAGGCAGCGGAACCTGTTTCTCTGACGTATTTCCCAACCAACCTGTGTTGTTGGGTCCTCGTTTTGAAGAGACGGTCCCCGCGTTCCTCCTTGCTCCTTGCTCCTTCCTCCTTCCTCCTCCTCCCCTTCCTCCCCCCTCCTCCCCCTCCCACACCCATTCTGGCACACCCCCTCACACGCTTCGTGGCTCCATAGGGAGCTCCACCGAAGGCCCCAGTGGCTGCGCCCGCATGCGGTTCCACCCCCCATTCTGGCACACCCCTCACACGTTTCGTGGCCCCATAGGGAGCTCCACCGAAGGCCCCAGTGGCTGCGCCCGCATGCGGTTCCACCCCCCATTCTGGCACACCCCTCACACGTTTCGTGGCCCCATAGGGAGCTCCACCGAAGGCCCCAGTGGCTGCGCCCGCATGCGGTTCCACCCCCCATTCTGGCACACCCCTCACACGTTTCGTGGCCCCATAGGGAGCTCCACCGAAGGCCCCAGTGGCTGCGCCCGCATGCGGTTCCACCCCCCATTCTGGCACACCCCTCACACGTTTCGTGGCCCCAGTGGCTGCGCCCGCATGCGGTTCCACCCCCCATTCTGGCACACCCCTCACACGTTTCGTGGCCCCATAGGGAGCTCCACCGAAGGCCCCAGTGGCTGCGCCCGCATGCGGTTCCACCCCCCATTCTGGCACACCCCTCACACGTTTCGTGGCCCCATAGGGAGCTCCACCGAAGGCCCCAGTGGCTGCGCCCGCATGCGGTTCCACCCCCCATTCTGGCACACCCCTCACACGTTTCGTGGCCCCATAGGGAGCTCCACCGAAGGCCCCAGTGGCTGCGCCCGCATGCGGTTCCACCCCCCATTCTGGCACACCCCTCACACGTTTCGTGGCCCCATAGGGAGCTCCACCGAAGGCCCCAGTGGCTGCGCCCGCATGCGGTTCCACCCCCCATTCTGGCACACCCCTCACACGTTTCGTGGCCCCATAGGGAGCTCCACCGAAGGCCCCAGTGGCTGCGCCCGCATGCGGTTCCACCCCCCATTCTGGCACACCCCTCACACGTTTCGTGGCCCCATAGGGAGCTCCACCGAAGGCCCCAGTGGCTGCGCCCGCATGCGGTTCCACCCCCCATTCTGGCACACCCCTCACACGTTTCGTGGCCCCATAGGGAGCTCCACCGAAGGCCCCAGTGGCTGCGCCCGCATGCGGTTCCACCCCCCATTCTGGCACACCCCTCACACGTTTCGTGGCCCCATAGGGAGCTCCACCGAAGGCCCCAGTGGCTGCGCCCGCATGCGGTTCCACCCCCTGGCACCCCCAGGCCCCATAGGGAGCTCCACCGAAGGCCCCAGTGGCTGCGCCCATGCGGTTCCACCCCCCATTCTGGCACACCCCTCACACGCTTCGTGGCCCCATAGGGAGCTCCACCGAAGGCCCCAGTGGCTGCGCCCGCATGCGGTTCCACCCCCCATTCTGGCACACCCCTCACACGTTTCGTGGCCCCATAGGGAGCTCCACCGAAGGCCCCAGTGGCTGCGCCCGCATGCGGTTCCACCCCCCATTCTGGCACACCCCTCACACGTTTCGTGGCCCCATAGGGAGCTCCACCGAAGGCCCCAGTGGCTGCGCCCGCATGCGGTTCCACCCCCCATTCTGGCACACCCCTCACACGTTTCGTGGCCCCATAGGGAGCTCCACCGAAGGCCCCAGTGGCTGCGCCCGCATGCGGTTCCACCCCCCATTCTGGCACACCCCTCACACGTTTCGTGGCCCCATAGGGAGCTCCACCGAAGGCCCCAGTGGCTGCGCCCGCATGCGGTTCCACCCCCCATTCTGGCACACCCCTCACACGTTTCGTGGCCCCATAGGGAGCTCCACCGAAGGCCCCAGTGGCTGCGCCCGCATGCGGTTCCACCCCCCATTCTGGCACACCCCTCACACGTTTCGTGGCCCCATAGGGAGCTCCACCGAAGGCCCCAGTGGCTGCGCCCGCATGCGGTTCCACCCCCCATTCTGGCACACCCCTCACACGTTTCGTGGCCCCATAGGGAGCTCCACCGAAGGCCCCAGTGGCTGCGCCCGCATGCGGTTCCACCCCCCATTCTGGCACACCCCTCACACGTTTCGTGGCCCCATAGGGAGCTCCACCGAAGGCCCCAGTGGCTGCGCCCGCATGCGGTTCCACCCCCCATTCTGGCACACCCCTCACACGTTTCGTGGCCCCATAGGGAGCTCCACCGAAGGCCCCAGTGGCTGCGCCCGCATGCGGTTCCACCCCCCATTCTGGCACACCCCTCACACGCTTCGTGGCCCCATAGGGAGCTCCACCGAAGGCCCCAGTGGCTGCGCCGCATGCGGCTGGGGAGCTCCACCGAAGGCCCCAGTGGCTGCGCCCGCATGCGGCCCACCATTCTGGCACACCCCTCGCACGTTTCGTGGCCCCATAGGGACCGAAGGCCCCAGTGGCTGCGCCCGCATGCGGTTCCACCCCCTGGCACACCCCTCACACGCTTCGTGGCCCCATAGGGAGCTCCACCGAAGGCCCCAGTGGCTGCGCCCGCATGCGGTTCCACCCCCCATTCTGGCATACCCCTCACACGTTTCGTGGCCCCATAGGGAGCTCCACCGAAGGCCCCAGTGGCTGCGCCCGCATGCGGTTCCACCCCCCATTCTGGCACACCCCTCACACGTTTCGTGGCTCCATAGGGAGCTCCACCGAGCGCCCCAGTGGCTGCGCTCGCATGCGGCTCCACCCCCCCATTTCGGCACACCCCTCACTCGTTTCGTGGCCCGGGGGCGCCAACGAAGAATTTTTCCACAATTGCGGTATTCACAACTACGTATGGTTGGGTCTTTCGTCAGGCTAATTTTTTCAGTGTAGTAGGTTGTCGGGCATCCGAGTCTTTCACGACACAGCATATGGGGCGTTGCCAAAAAGGGCCTCGCCTTCGAGGATAGAAAGAGATGCCATCTCTTCCTCGGCGGAAGGCGGCGGAAGGTCGGCGGAAGTACAACGAGCCCGTTTCCGCTGGCGGGAGCCGGCGGAAGGGCGACGGAAGGTGGCGGAAGTGAAACATGCGCCCCCACTAGAGGAACATGTTTTTGGGTTCAGGGTTTCCGACATCCGCCGTACGGTTGGGGCGTTGATGAAGGAATGCGCCCAGGAGGCTGCAGACCTGGAGGATTACCTATCCGATGAGGGCGGCGGTGCTATCCATGGCCCATCCACGGTTGGAGTTCCACTGGCCTCCAGGCCCTGGATCCCTTAACCAGTGGTTCCTTATCCATGCGCACGGGTTCAGCGACCTGGCGCAGGCGCGAGCCAGGGGCCTGGCGGCGAGGGGCGAGCGGGCGGCGGCGGCGGCCCGCGAGGGCGGCTAGGGCGAGGCCCGCAGCAATAATTCCTGTGCGCGCACGGGCCTCTCGGGGTTTGAAGCGTGTGTGTGTGTATATATAGCTATGTATATATCTATGTGTGTATATATATACACATTGTTTTGGCGCTGGCCACCGTGTATTATTTTGGTGCTGGCCAGACCTTTAGTTCGACTTGCATCACGCTGGGGATGCCGCGGCCAGCGTGTCGGGGGGGATGCGCGCCGGTGGCGTCCAGACCTGGGCCCCCCCCAGCCTTCGTGTGCTCCGCACCCGCCTCTCCGAGCAGTGCCGGCGCCAAGAATTGTTTTGTCCGCGCGCATAGGCATACAGTGGGGGAGGGGGAGAAGGAGGAGGGGGAGAAGGAGGAGGGGGAGAAGGAGGAGGAGGGCGGAGGGAGGAGGGAGGAGGGAGGAGGGAGGAGGGAGGAGGGAGGAGGGAGGGAGGGAGGAGGGGGAGAGGGGGGGAGGAGGAGGAGGGTCCAGTGGACGGAGATGTGGGACAGGACCGAGAGCCCAATCCTTCTTTCTCCTGAGGGGCTCAGCACGCGGCCCGAGTCAGAGGCTGTGAGCGCCGGTGGGCCTCCGACTCGCCTGAGCCTGAAACTTGCGGAAACGGTCACTCTGCTCGCGAGGTGGGGAGGAGAGGGGCAAACATTTAGTGAACACGTTCAGTGTCTTCGAGGAGGAGGAGGAGGAGGAGGAGGAGGAGCCCAAATTCAGGGTGGGAGGTAAAAGACCTCACGCACCCATCACAGCAGGCGCCCACTCCCCTCAGTCCAGCTCCTCATCGAAGGAATCGGTCCACTGCATTCGTTGCCATCCTTGATGCCCACGCCGAGACTGCCGTTGTCCCCTCTGGATCCTGGATCTGGGAGGGTACATTGAGCATAGACAGGAAGTACTGCGTTACCTTTGCCTCTGTATGGCGCCGAACGTTGAGCGTCCACCAAGCATCGGCGACCTCATAGATGCCAGTGAAGAAATCGTTTTTGGTGTCGCTAGTCGCCGTAACTGGAGATGAGAACGCAAGCGAAGGGCCCGAAGAGGTACTATACGATGCCGATG